TGGCTAAATGCTATCTAAAGACTTATCCATTCTTTCTTACTAAATCAAATTAATTAGTAATTATTCTTATTTGATGGTGCAACCTGAATATTTAGTTTTTTTTTTTTTTTTTTTTGATGTTCAAATATTAACCAAAAAAATAATTTATGTTAACTATTATGAGGAAATATTTTTCATTAAAGCCAGTAAAATGGTTGAATTTAGAAATAAATAAAAGTAACAAAAATATTAAATTTTGAAAATAAATTAGATTTTAAACTTAGTATTTTCCTTATGATTATTATGATGCATAAAAAGCACACGGTGAATTGAAGTCGCCGTTTCTGACCGTCGATTGACAGCTGGATTCAACTTGCGTGGCCTAGATCAAAATCCTCCCCTTTTTAAACCATAATCCTCTCCGCAGTTCGTCACACGGCCAGGGGCCACCGCCTTGTTCTTCTTCATCTTTCCTCTCTCTCTGTCTATCGCTCATTAAAAATGGAAGGGTTGATTCCGTACATTTGCAGAGCCATAAGCGGCCAACAGAGGAAGGATTCATGGTTGAGCAATTCTTCTTCGCCCTCGCCTTCAGCTTCCTACATGCGACTGCCGACCGGCGACTCCGGAAGACACCAAACCCCGTCGGAGAGCCTGCGTTTTTTCAGTTCGGCCGGCGACAAACAGCCTGTGGTCCGCCGATCCGATTCTCGCCGCTTCAAGATTAAGGATTGCTAATTAATGCGTCTTTGTTTATGTTTTATTACTATGCTTTTCGTTTGCGGTTGTCTTTTTTTTCTCAAGAGTTGAGGTGCTGTGTGATTAACTGTATATATTATTAATATCAAAATTTGTAATTAATGATTTCATGGAATATACAAGCTAAATTTACTACATCTTCATCTAACAAAATTAGATTTTAATTCATATGAAAATTAAATTAAAATTTTAAGATTTGAATTGACTCATGAGACAGTTCCCACTGCAAAACAAGGCAAAAATAGAGCAGCTCATTGTAAGAAAAAATAAAAGAGATTGATAATGATACTTGCAGTTTTGATCGATACATGAATAAAGTACATAAATGATAAAGTGAAAAGCGCACTCAAACATTGAAATTTAATCAATGATAAATGTAGCTTTGATCATTGCAAAAAACAAATAAACAAATGGTACAGTTACAAGGTGCAGTCAAACTGAGGCTAGCAGGCAGAACATGACGAGGGAAGACATGGCAATTAATAGCCAAGTGATGAACGCAAATATTATGGAAATCTCATATTTGTAGCATGGAAGCTGCGGATACAAGCGGCAAAACTCTAAATCATTTACAAAAAGTACTGTCACGCCTACAGAAGAACATGCTGCTGCAAGTGATAAAGTTGCAGTTACCTGCATTTGACATATAAAATAGCTTCAGAACATTGAAATTCAACATTCATAAGATGTTTTACCAAAAAGCAAGTCAATCTGAAAACAATTTGAGGGATTTTTTTAAAATTTTAAGGTAAAGTTGACACTAGTCCAACATGACTTGAGCATTTTGTTAATTTAGGGTTGCATTGGGTTCAAATTTGCTTGCATCAAGTTTGTTGAGAGTTTCAACCTTCTTAATAAATGGATTGTGTTTAAGTTGACCATATTCAATCTGTTTCAATGTTTGGATCAATCCTGAACTCAACCCATAAACCTGAATTGACCCCTTATAAGAATTACATGAAGACTTCCCATAAATCCCACTTGTCTTGTAGTTCTAACACTCTATACAGGTTTGTTTAGTTTCCATTAGCAGCTCATAAGAACATATAATTGCATTTCACTTCTCGTTGCAAAGATATGCAGAGACGGAAGCTTCAAAACTTGATAAAAATGCTTTTTAAAGATATTGATTAATCTCTTGAATGCTAGAAATATAATTGTCAATTACTCGTTAACGTATATAGCAAGGAATATAATACCAGAGAACAAAAAGCAAATGATCAAGAGAGTTGCTTCGAAGACCAAAATCAACAGAGACTTCATAAAATTTAATAAATCAAACCTGAAGACTTTATTTCAACCCATAATATGAATTCTAAAGTTTACAGATTTTATTTTCATCCAGAGCAATACATCCGTAAGGTTGCTGCACAGAAGTAGTTTAAGATAATTTATCGCAGAGAAAGGCATTTGACATCAATTTAGACAACGGTTCGTTGTCGATTAATGACCGTTAAGAGTCAGCAAACTAAGTTAAGCAAGTGGTGGAAAAGTTTCAAAATAGTTGATATCATGAACTTTGTGTATCCCTTATTCACCAATTGAGTTTTGTAGTGGCTAATAATTCCATCGATATGAAAGTTGATTCAGAAAACTGTTAGATTCTTGATCTACATCAAGAAGTAGAAGGCACCTTTTGAGTAGGTGTAGACTCCTTAAGAAAGAAAAAGGGAAGAAGAGGGGCTAGAAAGGGACAAACCAGAAATCTGTCAATCCATAACATTTTCTTACAATAGGAAATATATTTATAATGCTTTGGTAGACCAGGTTTACAATATAAAACAGTTTACAATATAGAATTTGTCTACCAAACACAAATTTAACATAGAATATAAGAAATAAACTAGTACTTATTACAAATGTATAGACTGTTTAGTTTAAATTTTATTTGGTTAAAAATATATTGTTGATGTATAATACTCCCATCGTCATGAAAAACAACCTTGTCATCAAGGTTGAGTGAAGAAAAAGACAGAGAGGGATGCAAAATTTCCCATATGGCATCATCCAAAAATTTAATTTCCATTGCAACAAAAATTGACCGCGAAGTTGTAAAAAGGTAGAAGGAAAAAAGTATAAGGATATATTCATAGTGACCATCATAAATAGTTTTTAGAATGAATTCTAACTTGCTGAGAGGTAGAACAAAAATGAAGTTTGAAAAAAAACTCTATGTAATTCAACAAAATGTTCATATACTTTTGGAATGGTAAATTTATCTTTAATTATGAATATATTAAGGTGATGGTGATATAGATGGGGATATTATTAGTAGAATTTAAGTTAGATGGTTTAAGTGGAGGAATGCATCAGGCTTGTTGGGAGATAGAAAAGTCCCCCTCAAACTTTAAGGAAAATTCTATAAGATGGTGGTTAGACCTGCAATGCTTTATGGTATAAAATGTTGTCCATTAAAAGATAAGCATAATATTAAGTTAAGTGTTGCAGAAATGAGGATGCTCAAGTGGATGAGTTGCTTCACTCTTAAAGACACAATACGAAATGAGCATATACGTGAAGAAGTTGGAGTAGCTCCAGTGGAAGATAAGATTAGAGAGTCTCCTTAGATGGTTTGGTCACATAAAACGGCGGCCTTCTGATGACCTGGTTAGGAAAGTAGATGAATTAGATTTGACTTATGTTAAGAAAGATAGATGTAGACCTAAAAAGACTTGGTTATAAAATATTAAAAATGATATTTTCTTATTAAATTTAAATGAGAACTTTACTTTTAACAGAACACAATAGAGAAAAAGTATTCATGTAGCCGACCCCACATAATGGGATAAAGGCTTGATGTTGTTGAATATATTAAGTGCTCTAGGGTTAATGTAAACATGCCAAGTACCATTAGCATCCTTTTGAAAATATGGAGAATGATATGTACGAAATTAACTAGTTGAGATAACGATGGAAGATGAATATGTTGATCAATTGTACGAGATTGAGGTAAACCTTATAGTAGCTTAAATGAATGTGAGATTGTTTGAGTAAGATAGAATTTGATAATGGTAGATGATGGGTAAGAAAAGATAAACTTGTAGGAGAAGGTGAAATTGTGGAGAAGGAATTCAGCAGATGGACCAAGAATGCAAGTGAAACACGCAATTCCAGTGATACACGCTTCGAGGCTTATGCCTCGAGCCTTTTTAACGAGACTTATACCTTAGCCTGATTGAGGCATGTCTTGAGACACGCCTCGCCCAATTTATATATTTTTTATTAAACCTTACCTAAATCCTAAACTAAACCCCAAATAAATCATGCATTCATGCACCCTTAAGCCGCAATAACTTTCTCTCAACCGCCTCGACCTCCAGCCCACCACCTTTGTCGTAGCCACCACAATCGTAGCCACCGCCGGGAATCAATTGAAAGCGGCACACCACCACCACCTCCTCTTCTAAAAATTTTGGAGTATTATTCTTATCTTTATGTTAATGATAAATATTTATGAAAAAGACAAATGATTAAAATAAATGAAGGCGAAATAGATTGAGAGGTATTGAACTCCACATCATGAGGCAGGGGAAAGACCAATTTGTTATGACGATGTCTCAAATAAAGACGTCCTCATGTGCTGACAATGTAGAAAATTTATGAGTTGTTGTCAATTATGGCAGTTTTTTTTTAGGAATTAAATGTGGATAAACGGAGAACTGACAAAGAAGGAACTTTGAGTTGAACTTGATGTTATATGATACTTTTACGTAATTTATATAGTTCATTTTGTTTTGCTCTTGTAATATTTTGATTTCAATTATATTTCACACAATTTGTAACTTGTCATTTTACATCTCATGGATTTTTTTGTTTCATATGTATGTCAATTTATTACTTTATAATTCAATGAAAAGTTAATATGTTATTCTTTAATATATTATTTGGGTATAATATAAAAAATAACTTTTAACATTTATTTTTACTTTACGTAATTTTTGGATTTTGAGGCTTACACCTCAAAACACATTGAGGCATTTGCCTCGCCTCATGAAAGAAAAATGCCTCAATACCCAATTACGTAATTTTAAACCTTGGCTAGCGGAGGGATGGTTGATATGCCAGATATAGTTTTTTTAAACTAATGGTGTCGGTTTGTCCAGCAAATGGAAGAATCGGTATGCAAGAAGCCGGTGGCCGATTCTTTCAACAGAAGGTAGTGGCGGGAGCAATTGGAGGAAGGGTTGGCTGTTCTTGTAAACAGCAGGTCTTGATGGCTTGAGTGAAGGCGGATTCCTGACGCTGAATGCAGGAGAGTGGCGGCAGGAATGCTGCAGGAAACTGAAGAGCAAGGATTTGGAAGGCCGGTTTGCTGAAAAAACAGCAAGAAGAGGGCTGGAACAGGCTTCTTAAGGCTGATTTGCTGAAGAAAACAGCAAAATAGGGTTCGAACAGCTTTTTTGCGCCTGGTTTGCTAAAGAAAACAACATGAAGAGGGTTGCTTGCTGAAGAAAACAGCCTTCTTGTGGTTGGTTTACTGAAGAAAGCAGCAAAAAGAGGGCTGAAACAGCATTCTTGCTGCTGGCAGACTGCAGGAACTACACTGAACTGCGGGAAATTGGCAGACTACAGGAAACAGAGTTCAAGAAACTGGTGAAATACAGGACTGCAGGAGTGTAGGCAGCTGTTGAAAGGAATCTTGATGGTTTGCGAGAGCACCATTTGTTATGCTTCTTGATCTGCAACAAGAAGGAGAAGGCACCTTTTGAGTAGCTATAGACTCCTCAAGGAAGAAGAGAGGCTAGAAAGAGAAACCAAAATCTTTCATTCCATAACACTTTCTAATAAGAGAACAGGTAATTATAATGTTTGGGTAGACCGAGTTTACAATATATATCAAGTTTATGATATATAGAATTCGTCTACCTAATACAAACTTAAAATAGAATAAAAGAAAGACTAGTACTTATTACATATATATAGATTATTTAATTTGTATTTATTTGACTAAAGATATATTACTGATCTATAACAAAAACTCAATAGCATGAAATAGGCTTTGCTCTAATAGAGGGGTGACTAGGTTTGATCTTGAAAACTCAATAGCATGAAATAGGTTTTTCTTTAATAGAGGGGGGTGACTAGGTATTATGTGTGAGAGTAAAAAAAGCACCCTCATTTCAACATCCATTTCTTGCTACCAATTAGGATCAAATAACGGTTCCTAATAAATCCAGAGAATAGAGACAGCGAAAAGAGACAAGGCAATTTAACAAAATAAAGAAGATAAATTATCAAAGGACGTAAAAGATTGTATCGAATGATTACTATAGCTTGTGTACCTTATAGCAATTAATCATACAAGATGAGAGGTTTTCAACATAAATAATTGTGTGACCAAAGTTGATTAGATCAAAGGATATGCATCAGAAGGAGGCCCAACGAGTATAAACTCTCAAACGAGAAAGAGTGGGAGTCAAAGAAAGAGGTACAAACGGAACAGCATGAGAAAATCTAGTAGTTGAGATCATGAAAAACACAATGGTAGGGATAAAACATTGTTGAACATATGTGGGATTTAGTAAGACAATTGATAAACAATAATTTTACAGGAAAGTGCAAATATATAAGGCATTATTTAAGGTTAATGAAGAGTAAAGACAAATAAATCATTATCTAAAGACACAATGACAATGAGAGAAGAGAAAGATTGAAAGGTAAGGGATTAAAATAATTATGAATCCCTACCATGTTGGAAGAAGCACCAAAAAAGACCTAAGACAAACCATAATAAGCAATTATGGTTGAATCAAAGGAGGAAGTTGCATGAAAGGCCAAGGTAGCCAACTAGAGTGTTGAAGTAGGAGATAAAATTCGTTTTGCGAGGTAGAAATAGTTCCAAAATGAGGACCATTAGATTCAAGGGTAGTTGTTGCAACATGTTGATTGGCTAGATTGAGAGACTACATTCATATGAGGTTGTAAAGGATCAATCATGGCAAGAGATTGTTTAGTAAACGCATGCTCAACTAGAAGTAGGCAATAGCACATGCAAGGGGAATGTCAGGGAGAAGATTACATAACATAAAGAGAGGTTGTAGGGCTACAACATGTCTGAAGGTCTGTAGATGGAGCTAGGTTGCATCTTGTGCGTTGCAGTGCTTCAAACTATGGATGGAGACACATGACCGTTGAGGCACAGGAGCAAAGAGATGGTGAGAGTGGTCCAACATAGCAGCACAAGAGTGTGGCACACCAACATAGTACAAGAAAGAGCGATAAGTGCAAAGCACGAGCTAACTAGCATGATATGATAACATAATACAAGAGTAACCGATTGAACGCAAAGCGTGAGCAAGAAAGCGGTTTGAGGAAAATGTGTGGAGCATGAGAAAAAGACGAGATTTGGAGAAGTGGGGAGTGGAGAGGGTTGAAAGCTGAGCCATAGCTGGGCTTTGATACTTTGTTAAGATATTAAAAATTATTAAAATATGAAAATAAATTTTCTTTACCTAACTCATACAATAACTCTTGTAAATTTATAGCATATCTACCGACATTTTGATATCTACCACCATCTATCTAATAAACTCAAACTTGACACTTACTAACTCTAAAAATTATATAAATAAATGCCTCCGATGTGTTGAAGCATTCCACAACAACATGCAAATAGAAAAAGGGAGATAGAGATACAAAGAAGACTGAAATGGCAGCAAGCCAGCAACAACAATATCTTCTTCTCTACCTTAGCCCGCTTTTCGCAACATGTGGATATGTCCCTCTCAATTCTTGTTAAAGGGAAAGTGATATATATATATATATATATACTTATTTTTGTATGTATAGTTTGTATGAAAAACTATGCAAAAAATAAGTGCATAGACGCAAGAATGAACTGCTAGGATGAAAATTGGTTACCCAGTCCCCAACCACAAACAAGCTGACTAAAACAGGGTTGTTAAGATCTCTTTTCATCCTTAAAGCATAACAATCTAGGCAGCCAAGTCCGAGGCTCCACAGCGCTTGTAGTCCCATGGAAGCAATCAAGTAGCTGAAAAGCATAAACTGCCCACGCATAAGGTTTTAAAGAGTATCATAAACTTAAAAGAAATCAAATTATTGCAAGAAAAATGAAAATTATAAACTAGCAAAACTAAACAACTTCACAGAATGCTTGCCATGGAGAATATATTTTAGTTTAGTCTATCTTAGGTGGGAAAATTATAAAGAAAGTTGATATCAGCTGATGGGGAGCCTCCCATTCAATGTCTGCGTTGAAAGCTAAGTTAGGTATAAGGACAAGAGTGATAATCACCATCATGTCAACATTTATAACATAGTTGTATACAATAACACATATGACTTCCAAAAACAACAAGAATGGTAGAAACTAATATGACTGAAAATGAAGTGGCATCAGGAAATGTTGATATATCAAGATTTAATGATGAACATCTATGTTGAACCCATAAAAATAGGAGATTAAATTATTGATAAAAATAACGTAAGAGAGCAAGGCATGCACCAACCTGAAATTTAGTTAGGAAATAAATGAACTAATTACACTAGAGACCATTCTTATGAAAGAACTACTCAAAAGATAGATGAATTAGCCTTATCTTAAATGTTTTGGTCAACTTTATGAATCTTCATTCTACATTCACAACTTGTGCAACACACAATTGAAATGAATGAAGAATGATTATTCATAAAGCCAACTACAATAGCTAGGATAAGGTTATGATCATGCTGATGATGAAAATAGCGATCATGATGAAAACACAATTATGCATAGTAACTATAGATAGAAGGAAAATTATGCAAAGAAAGTATTATGAAAATTTGTATTAACTTTAAAGAAATCAACATTCTACCCAACAATGGATAGAGAGTTAAACAACAAAATTGAGGTAAATAATGCTAGGAATAAGAGACAAGTCCCCTAGATTAAAGTGGTTGTGATGAGGGATGTATCCAATCAATAAAACCATTGTCAAGGGCTTTTGAGGAGTGTACTTCTTGTAGCTTGACCGAGAGCATTTGCGGTAGACGGCTAACCTTGATCGCGGACAACTGCTACAAGTGAACAAGTTTTATTGAGGCGAATGATCATCAGGCGTGGACTGGTCTAGGAAAATCCTTTAGAGATGCTAAGGATGACAATACCCTTGGTCTAATCTCCCAAGGCAAGTATGCACACTGTTATCTCCACAGCGGAGAGTGGTGTTTGCCCACATGTTGGTGTCAGCTACTGTTATGTCAAGATATGCTTTCTTCTGGAGAGTGCCGCTTTGACCACGTGATCCCACTAGTTAAGCTTTTTAACAGGAACCTATTAGACACCTATAAGTTACCTATATGGGCATGTATGAGTATACAAATCGTTCAACTTCATGCAATTAAGATTGGTGTAATTTATGAATAACTGCACACAACAAATAGAAATAGTACAAAATTTTGTTATATAAAACTGCATGAACCTCAAAGAGAATAAAACCCCAGATTTCACACAATGGATTACTAACAAAAATTGATCTTTGGATCAACAATAACTAATAAGCTATTCCAAGTAAATTCTAGTATCCTACATACCACAAGAAAGAAAACACATTATATATCTCCATTACCTGCACTTTCCTCTATTTCATCATTTCCTGACGCCATAAACTTACCAAATCAGCCATAAGAAAAAACCAAAGTAATCAAGCAATATAGCTTCTTTCCATTGTCATTAAATTAAAAAATACATTCAGAAACCCAAATTATAAGGGAAGTTAAAGGATATGAATGCGACGATGCGTGGATTACCAGAAGGCTGTGTAGTTGGAAAAGCCTGACGCTGATACCATTACAGCGATCGCAGCACTAGAAAATAGGCACTGCCCCGTCCTGAGAAGCAATCCACCTACTGTGCCCGGGCTCCCGACCACCAACTTCATATCCTCTTCGTCTTCTTCCTCCTCCCAGTTCGGCAAAAACAAGCGATTACTCAGGTCTTAAGTACCCGCAAGCTCTGGCTTCATCTCAGAACAAGCATGTAGCTTTCACGCACGAGGCTACTCTGGACTTGAATCTTAGAAGGGGCAAATAAAACCCTAGTGGAACTCGGGCTTCTGAGAAGATTTGAGGGCTTCTTTTCTTATTTTTATTTTTTTATTTCCTCTGAATTATCCTCGGGGATAATTTTTTTTAGAGATTTATAAATATCACCTTTTTTATTAACGTTTTTATTATCTAAATTTTAACATTGATATATAATATCATATTTATTAACTCTACTGATGAAACTCTCAATCAAGGCTAGGAGGTCAAAACAAATCTACCATAAAAGAGAAGATCACGATGAGAACTCACGTAGGGCTTGGAGTACAAATGAGTCAAGTTGAGCTCAAAAGGCAAGCCTTAGCTCGGCTTATGCCATTGAATACGAGCTCGTGAGCCAAATATAAGTTTAAACTAAAAGTAAAAAAAAAAAAACCTAAAAGTGTTATCAATCAGTGAATGGATTTGAGTATTCTTGGACTTGTTTTGCTCTTGGAGAAATCCTCTTCAACTGTGTAGAAGACTCCAATGGTTGATTCTGAATCAATTGAAAGTGGATTCAAATATTTACTTTCTCTCTCTCTCTCTTCACCAATGGAAGTTTTGGAAGCAATGAAATGGTGTGGAAATACTTGGAGAAGGTAGACAAACTCATGGAGAGGCAGAGGGAAGAAACTTGGGGAGAGAGTGTGTTTGGGAGCCAAGGAGAAGGCTGCTTGGGTGAGAGTGACATGGTTGGGCTAAGTGAGAGGAGGGGACCACATCATTCCTCTTTTGGCTAACCACGGCTTGGGCTTGGTTTA